CCCAATGCTAATTTATTAAATCAAAGTTTCACAACTTTCTTCTGTGAGAATTTTTTTACAGGAACATTAGTTCAATCGTTGCTCCATTTCCTCACGGTAATTATTATATTGATGGTATAATTCTATTCATAAACTGAGAATTTATCTCAAAACAATCAAATTTCGATTTTTACGTCAGCTAGAAACAATACAACGACTTTTATTCAAAACTAGGAAAATCCAAATATCTCGAAAACTTTCTAAGAACAAGCATATACATTTTGATTGATTAAGATAGGAGACAAAAAGACGAACATTTCAAAAAAAAATTATTGCACTAAGTTAACTCGGTATTGAAATATTAAAGAAATTAAGATTACATACACAATTGAATCTCTGTAACTAATTATCCGATTTAGCCCAGATTCAATACGAACAGTTGTAATTACCAAAAGCAGCTCTCTACCAAATTTCCAGTTGATATGCCGATTTTTACGCCTGCTAGAGATCGTACAACGACTTTGAGTAAAAAATAGGGTAATCGAAATAATCGAAATATCTCGAAAACTTTGTATGAACAGGTATACATATTTTGATTGATCAAGAAGAGGATATCAAGACGAACATTGTGAAAAAAAATATTGCAATAAGTTAATACGTCATAGAGATATTGAAAAAATTAGGTTTACATACAAAGTTGAATCTCTCTGAAACTAATTATCCGATTTAGCTCAGATTCAATACCAACCATCGAGATACGCCGCAGCGTATCGGCCAAGTCGCGCCACATAACCTCACAACAGAAGGACGAGAGCTATCGAGTATCTATACACGACACAACTTCCCCTTCCACTACCCTCAACTGATTTTCCACCAATTCATCAAAAATGCGCCCACTTGGACGCAAAATGTCCTTAGTTACACTGTATAAATCACCAATCCACGTTTCACTGATGCAATTATTAATTTAATCCGTTCAATATTTACGAAGATATCCACATAACAACGAACAGGCATACACATTTTTCGTGTTCCCATTATCTTCTCAACGAAAACGGTCACACTCAAGCCATTGAGTTGGTAGCGCAACTCGAATTCTCACTTTCGCATGCAGGAATTGCCAACAGTGTCTTACGTTATATAGTGTCATACCCGACGACCTGGCGCAGTGGGTAAGAGGGTTGCCTCACATGCGAGAGGTTTCGGGTTCGATTCCCAGTCGGGGAGAATGGTGATGATCTAACCATTCAAAGTCTTGATCAAGCGGCCGCTACAATAGATCTTGATAGATTTAGGTGGCATAGGGCACTTTGTGCGCCTAGTCGCTCCATTCTAATCTATATAGTGTCATGGAGAATAGAGGAAAGAAGGGCAAACAGCGGCTGGTGGGACCCCTAAAATCATGTCACGCAACATGTAGTTCAGATTGATTCCGATGGTAGCGGTATTAGTCACTAGCGATCAAAACAGATCATTAGAATTGTAACATTCATCGTACTGAAAATTTCATTCCCTATCCGTGCAATAATTTGACAATATTATATTAATTCCTCAACAAATATATGTAAAACCGTTGTAGAATATGAAAAAAATTACAGATATTTTCTGAATGGGAATCCATGAGTGACGATGCTTTGAAAAATAATTTATGAGAGAACTATGTAAATAAGCAATAGAAATCCAACTGAGGTAAAAATAGCACTGTGAATGACGAAGAACAAAATCCGGTAATTCGTTAAAGAGATATGGAGCATAGGAGGTTTGTTTGAATACAAACAAAATGAAAATTCAGTAGCGAAGCGGTAAGCCTGGTCAAGGGGATTTTGACTACTAGTCAGTTTTTGACGAATATCTCGGAATCTAAAAAAAAAAGGAAAAATTTTTGTCACGACTTTTTTTGTAGAGCAAACTGTCGTGATATCCGCGGGGCGGGGGTTGTAAAGTGGGGGGTTTTGCAAAGAGGGCTGTTTTATGAAAGGATAGGTTATCGTTGAGGTTATCCAAAAATATCTCCGAAACTAAGAAAGATAGCGAATTTTTACGAAAATTTGGTGGGTGGGGGTGAGTGGGAGTAGCCAAACAGAGCCGATCCTGGATATTACTTCGGAATCGGGCCGTTAGATGGCGCGGTGATCACGACGGGTCAGATGGGGAGTCTGATCATGTCTCTTGCAGCGGGTGGCGGATGGGGGGGGGG